AACTTCATTTTCTATCTTTGATATGTGTTTTCATTTACAAGTTCAAGTTGTTAGGTCAATCCATACAAACAAATTGCATACTTCAATTTCAAAACACCAATTGCACACTATTAAATAAATAATTAATTATGACTAGAAAGATATTTAGGGCACAAGAATTATTACGTATTATTATGCTGTTCACAATGGAAATGGTGGAGGGTTGTACTTTAATAACACTGGTTCGCTGTTAGGTTTTTTATTCTTATTTTGCTTTGACTTATTGGCATTTATTATATAAGGACTATTTTTGTAACTATTTTTTACAGGGACCATTTTTGTAACTATTTCTTACATTGTTGATTTCTGTGATTTTAAATTTCTTCCGGGGACCGTTGTAACTCTGTAAATCTGGACCATTTCTATAACTATTTCTTAAGTATAAATCTTTTTGTAATTTTTGAAAAATGGGACTCTCTCTTATTTTTCCTGTAACTCAAATGTATGATAACTAGAAATCCAGAAGTCTAGAAATGTATGGTGTGTAGGATGACTAGGAAAAAAACAGGAAGGACAATATAACACCATTTTTTTTCTGCATTGCGTATTCACAATCAGTTTTTTTTTGTTAAATACTTTTTAAAAAAAGTTTGGTTCTCTTGAGGATTATTTTTTTAACATTTGTCTGTGAAGTTACAAATTCTCAAAAAGAGTTTTTTTTATTAAAAAAAAGGTTAAGTTGTCATAAACAAACTCATGAAAAAACTCTTCTATCATGAATGGCCTTAATAATAATAATAATAATAAACCTCTACTATCGTATAGTCGTAAGTATTAACTCGTTATCTCAACTTATGATTTTTTTTTTGTTGTTGTTGAAGGAGATCATTTCACTATATTATTTTACAAACACGGCCGACCCAACAAGGTGGGCAAGCGGGACGACGGCCCAAGGCCTGGTCATGATTTGGTGTTCCAAAATTAATTATGTTATATATATATATATAAAGTGTTAGAAAAATTAAATGTGTATATAGTTGAGTTAGTCAGGGGGCGTATCTTTCTACTTATGCCTTAAGGTTCGAATCTTGCAGTATACATATTTTACATTAATATTTTAAAGCTTTTCAATGGTTTCCGACTTTCCGTAATATATTTTGAGTTGTTGTATTAGATTGGTAAGTAATGTTTCTTTCTTTCACCATATAGACTTCAAGTTGCTTACCTCGAACATACATCCTTCAATTTTTAGTTATTTGACTCTAAATTTATCGGTGTAAAGGGCCTTATTTTTTTGCATTCATCCAGGACTTCAAATCGGCTTGGATCGACCTTGTTTACATATTAGCTACAAACGATATAGATTAAAGGAACATGACAGAAAGTTAGGCTGAAGGGTATGGAGTTTGAAAGAGGTGTGCTTTGCATAGTAGGACAATAACTGCATCCAGAAACACCACATTTTGGGTGAGGTTTAGGTAGTAGATTTTCCCGCACGAGGTGTATTTCCTGCATTTTCTTTCATCTTTTTTTTAGTTTTAATAAAGTAAATATATTAAAATTTATGGTTTTTAATTCCCTACAAATAAATTATAATATTGGTATTATATATATTTAAAAAAAACGAAAAGAAATGAAAATTTACCGATTCATGCAAGGGCGGAGCCACCTTAGGACCAGGGAACGCCCAAGCCCACCTTCAAATTTTCATTTTTTTATGCATTTTGAAATAAAACATTATTTGGATGCAAACTATTTAAAAAACATTTGTAGTTCAATTTGCAATGCATAGTATTTATTTCCTAAACACTAAAGTTCGCTCTATTCCCTTAGGTGTTGTTTGGTTCGCAAAATGTTGACGAAGGAATTTGAATTGGAATTGGAAAATAAATCTGTCAGGAATTTGAATCTAATTCCATATGCTGTTTGGTTGGTAGGAAATGAAATTGGAAATAATTCCGAATCTGTTTGATTCGCAGGAAATGGAATTGGAATTCATGTAAAATGACATAATTACTCTTTTTGCTTGTTTTGCTTAATTTTACCTTGTTTTCTAACTTATATGTAAAAATACATTATGAAAATTATAAAAACAGTATAATTTCGACGGTGGGGGCAGTGGCGGTGATGGTGGCTGCGACGGTGGTGGTGATGGTGGCGGTGGCATTGATTGTGGTGGCGGAAGTGGTGGTGATGGTGGCAGTGTCAGCTGGTGGCGACAACGACGACGGTGATGGTGCTGGTGATAGCAGCGGTGGCTGGTGGCGGCGGTGGTGGTGGGTGATGGCATTGGTAGTGGTGGTGGGTAATGGTCGTGGTGGTGGTGGCGGCAATGGTGGCGGTGGTGGTGATGGTCGGTGGCGGCGACAACGGTGGTAACGACGATGATGGTAGTTGGTGGTGGTGTCGCAGGCAGTGGCGGTGGGTGGCGGCGGCAGCAGTGGTGGGTGGTGGTGGCGGCAGTGGTGGTGGGTGGTGGTCATGGCGGTGGTAGTGGTGGTCGGTGGCAGTGGCGGCAACGGCGACGATGGTAGTGGTTGTGGTGGCAACGGTGGTGGTGGTGGTCGGTGGGGCTGCAGCGATGGTGGTGATGGTGGCGGTAGGTTTTCTGATAAGTACAAGGGGTATTTTTGTAATCTGTCACTTTCCTTGATGAGAAGGAATGTTTTCCATCTAACTTTGGAAGAAATTCACTTTCCTCCGTATGGTGGAAAGTTTATTTTATTTAGGAATCCTTTTAGCTCCTCTAAGTTCAACCAAACGCATAAATTCGAGGGAATTAGAATCTTTTTCCCTCGAATTCAATTTCTTTCCTGCCAACCAAACGCACCCTTATATTTGAGTTTTTTTTAAGCAATTCATTTCTAAATTTATATTTTGACCCTTCGTATTTAGAAGTTCAATTCTTTTAGTAAGCTAGTATTCAAAATTTATATATTTCACACCTCAAATTTTATAAATTTGCATAATTCCATTCATAAGGAACACCCTAATTTTTTCCTTTTTCTTGGGGCCCTGGATCCGTGGATTTTAAAAAATGAAAGAAAAATAAGCTAGCTTATATGAAAAATAAAAAATAAAAGATAAATGCCCTCCCATCTTATCCATATTGTACATTTGATTAGTGCATATAATTAACTTGAAAGTGGTGTTCTTACGAATATTAAACTATATTAAACTTATGATTGGTTTTAGACAAAACTGTAAAATTGGTCATTCTGGTTAACAAAAAACTTTGGATAGAGTCCAAAAAGTTTTCAACTTGTATGAGAGGTCTAAAATCAAGAATTTTTTGTGGTTTTAGTCCTCATAAACATGAAAAGACAATTTTACCCTTTTTTTTGTATTTTCTCATATTATTTTTAACACTTTAAAATTTAGAAATAAATAACAATAGAATTGGGCCCACCACCCATCTCTCCACCGTACCTTTTATCTCTCTCTCTCTCTCTCTCACACACACACACACACCATCCTATCTTCTTCTTCATCACCTCTTACCTGGAAATCAAACTCATACACACAAACACACTTACACTGTAAATAAAAAACATACATACAATTCGATAGAAATGTTCTTATTAATCAACACCAAACAAACCCAAATGTCTAGAATCTGTTTCTAACATACAACAAGTAAACACGATCCATAAAAGCTCCTAACAATCATGATATCCAAAAGGGGATTAATAACTAAAGCTAGATTTGAAACAATAATCAAGATCCATAAAAGCTTCTGACAATCACTTAAATTAAGTCACTAGATCCATAAAGTATGACGTTGTTGCTTCAAAGCATATATCAAACATTTGACACACTCGACACCTCCACTTTACCTTGACCTGCTGCGGATCTTCTCCTGCAAAATTCCATGAATTTGTTTTATGGATTTGGGTGGTGGATAATGTAGATGTTTAATTTCACAATTTCACAATTTTGGGTTACAAATCTTCCATGGATCTCTTCTATAGATCTTTTCCCGGTGAGACGTTATCGCCGCTAGGGTTGTCGAGCCCGTTGACGGAGAAGTAAATATCAAGGGCAGGGAGGGTGATTATGAGGGTTGGGGAGGAATGGGTGGCCTGAATAACAACAGAAGACGGTGATGGTGGCTGGCAACGATGTGTCGGGTTCGTGTCGTGTCGAAACACTAAACGGGTTGAAAGTTCTTGACCCTAACTCGACCCATTTAATTAACGTGTCGTGTCGTGTCAACCCGTTTATTTTCGTGTCGAGTTCGTGTCGGGTTTCGGGTTAGGGCTATTCCTTGAAATATGTCATGTCATGTGATGTTAAAACATTGAGAATGTTGAAAGAGTATGAGTTGGGCAGGCGGAAAGGAAAAATCAATAGTTTGGAGGCAAAATAGATGAAGTCATAGCAAGTTCAGATGACAAAATTAAAAGAGTAGGAGTTGGGGAGGCGGATGACAAGGTCATGAGGATGTGAGAGTGGTGAAAGAGACTGGGTAGTTTGGAAGAGAATGGAAAAACGGAAATGAAGTCTTGATCTCGACGGCTAAGTCATTTCAACATTACAAAACGACTCAATTCGAAGGTTTTCTTTTACTTATGGTTTTGGTTTTGTATCTTTCTAGTTTATTTAAATAATTCAAAGAACTGACATATAAATAAACGGGTCATTTTCGAGTCATATTCGAGTTGAATTTCTCAACCCTAACCTTACCCGTTTAATTTTCGTGTCGTGTCGTGTCAACCCGTTTATTTAAACGGGTTGAAATATCTTACCCAAACCCGTTTATTTCATGTCAGGTTCGTGTCGGGTTTCGTGTCGTGTCAATTTTTGCCACCTCTAACCAAAACCATGGAAATTTCTTAATTTTAGGAGCAAAACCACAAAAATTTCTTAATTTTGAACCTCTCAGGCAGCTGAAAACTTTTTAGACTCCATCCACAATTTTTCACAAACCACGTAGAGACCAAATTTACAGTTTAGTCTTGTTTTTATCTCCATCATATTTAAAACATCATTTTTTTTTTACAAATATTCTGACCCACTTAAAAAATACACATTTTGACTGAAATTTGTTTCGTCACGTCCATCTATATTCCCGAGCCATACAATTCAAAATTATTTGCGTAAAGCCATAAACTTTATGGTGTCACACGCATGTCTAATTGTCTATTCATAATCGTATATTTGCATTTGCCATGATGATTAATTAGATGATAATGTTTCTAATAAAAACATCGACGTCTTTCGCAGCTGATCCACCTTTCTCAATACTCACACGACAAACAACCCGAAGATTTTTCACCCGTTCCACCATTTCTCTTCTCTCCACACTTTCATTATCCATAAACCGACTCACAATCTCTGCAATTTCCCCCCTCTTCACCAAAGTATTTCTACGCACTTCCTTCTTCATCTTCCATCCATTCCTCCAATCATCTACAACCACCTTGCTATTAAGTGGTTGGTCAGCAAATATCGGAAAAGTCAACATCGGAACACCAGAATACACACTCTCCTTCACTGAATTCCACCCACAGTGACTCCAAAACCCTCCCACCGAAGAATGCAACAAAACTCTAATTTGATCACACCATTCCACAACCAACCCTTCATCACCAAAACTCCCGTTCAACCTTCCTTTAGCGATCCATAAAAAATTCACACCGCTTTGCTTTAAACCGGCTGCGATTTCATCCATTTGGGAAGTGGAAACCGAAAGAAAGCTTCCCAAACAAATGTATAGAACACTGTTTGGAGGCTTGGAATCTAGCCATGTCATGTATTTGGATTTGGATTCGTGTGATTGGGGTTGGAGTTGGCGTATGTTTGGTCCAAATGTGTAGATGGGTTTGTGTAATTCGGATCTTAGTGCATCCACAGCTTCGTGTTCTAATTCATAGATTGTGGGTAGGAGAAGATATTGAACTCTTTTCATCATTGATATGAGATTAGGTGAAACATGAAGTTGTTCCCTGGTGACTGGAGATATATCTGCAACTTTCGTGGGAGATAATCCAGGGATGTAATCGATCCATTCTTCTTCTCTTTCTGTTAGTTCATATCGATCATTAATACATGTGATGTCAGGCAGATGAAAACAGTTTTTTCGAGAAATCAGAAATCACGAACCTGATAAATCAACAAAAATGTGGCGATGCTGTTCAAGGAGGTCAACATGATACCACATGGTAAACATTGATGCAGACATCGCCCAATAGGCTGCCACCGGAATATTCCTCCGGTCAGCAACATCTAGAATCCAGCTCAAAAAAGCATCGCCGATTATGAGTTTCACCGGAAGCTTTAACTGATCAAGCACCTCTTCAAATGGAGCTTCCATTTTGCTTTGAACAGCGGTGAGGAATCCGATCATGTCAGAGCCGCGGCCATGCTCAGATGGAATTACATTAGGAATGGTGGCGAATCGGACATTATCAGGTTTTGGATCAGATCCGATGAGTCCTAGCCACTCCTCCGTGACTACGACGGTGAAGATGGTGGTGCCGTCTGATCTGGAAGAAAGCAAGTCACAGAGGCTCATTAGAGGATTCAGGTGGCCCCTAGCTGGGTACGGCATCACCACCACTTGATTTATCGCCATCTCCGATTATCACTGCCTAATGGTTGAAGAATCAAAGGATATTGTTGGACTTTGGCGGGCCGTTATTTATAAAAATGCTTAATTTTTTGGATAGTGAGAAATTGGTTGACTGATGGAAGTTATCATGCTTTCAAAAATGGCGGGCCTGTAAACTGTTCGCAAAAATCCGTTGATTTATCTAGAAGGGTGGAATGGTGGATTACATCAATAGTCCCTAGACATATGAAACAATGTCACTTATAGTCCCTAATAGAATTTTATAATTTTTTACTAATATTATGTTGGATCAAATGCAAATATTAACAACGTTAATTATCATTTTAGGCAAAATAATTATGTATTTTTTTATTTCAAGGAGATAATTTTTTGTTCTTTTACATAAAATAACAACATTTTTAAAAGTTTTCTATATGCATTTTGATTGGTTATTAAATCACATTAAAATTTTAATGGTTAATCTCGTTTAAGCTAATTAGGCATAAATCATAATTCTTTAATTAAAAATTTATGGATGTGTGTGATCTTAAGTGAGTGTTGACCAGTATGTACAAGTTATTACATTAGATTAATCGGTTTTTTCCCATTGAAACTTTTATGGGTGAAATAATTATGGAATGAATATGTAATGATGCATGCATAAATATTATGTACATAAGGTTATTGACCGATAAACCGTCTCAATGAAACTAAATGATTATTTTATCGTTAAACTCTATCAAATAATTTTCATAATATGGATTAATTTTAATAAAATTTATCAATTTTAACTCGTGATGAATCGGATGAAAAATATAAAAAGGGAAAATAGATAAAAGTTGACATAATATTTTTTTGGCTTAGCTCATTAATTCATTCCGTCCATATTAAATCTGAAATAATCATTCATGTATAAATTTTCATAGGGGTGTTTGTGGTTTTGTTAGACTCGCAATTTTGAAAAGTGAAATCTTCAATGAAGTCCCGAAAACTTGATATTATTTATGAAAAAACATGTCTTATTTTTTAACATAAAAAGACAAAAGACCGACAATTGTTTTCATTAAAAGACAAAAATTCGGCAAATGTTTACATATTTTTGGCTCATTAACAATAAATTCATTGATTTTTTTATCCTTAAACATCAAGAGTATAAGCAATGTACTTTCCTTAAATTTATCCATCAATCATTATCTGTAACTTGATAAACAACATGGGTTAAAAGTTTTCAAAATCAACAAAGAGGTCGCTGACATTTTTCTGCATTAACAAGACTGACTTTTAGTGAACTTTAACCACCAATCCTTTACACTATAAATCAAACAATTTGAAGCCATTAACATATATTAACAACCACTTCACGAAAAAAAATATACATCTATAGCCAAACTACAAGTTACAGTCACAAGTTACAACAAATCGTCCGGTTTCTATTGTTTTTGTTTTCTTATTTTTCATTTTTCTGTACGGAGCTATTATATATATATATATATATATCTCACTCCCTGCACAATGTAAACTATCTATCAACAAGCATCCACACCGCTTACACATTCAGAAGACCATCAAGAGAACATCCTGTATTACAAAAAAAAAAAAAAAAAAACAAAAAAAAAAAACAAATTGAGCAAATGATAGTGTTTGTAATGTGTACAAATAAAACAGCTAGTATGGAAGAGATTGGCAACACCTTGAGTTTTAATTGTCACTCCTTATGGCTGAATACAATGAATCTCCAACAATAACATGCTGGAAAATGTCTAAAATTTAATGAAATATTGAAATGTAAAAAGCCAAGAATTCAAACTTCATCTTGTTCCACGCAAAGTTGACTTGGGACGTCTTACCCAACATGAGTTTGCCGCCTATTATTCCAACTTTAGATTGTTAGCGTACTTATTTCATTTTTTTCTTATTATTAAGGCATCATACTTTGAAAAATCTACCAAATTATAGCTTTCTACTTCAACTTTTTCTTACAAGTCTTTGAAAAATCTACCAAGTCATAGAAGTGAAAATTGCTTTGTATTTGGATGACATTACTATAATTGGGTAGATCTGTAATGCGAAGAAATGAAAGTATGATGCTATAATAAACAAATCAATAGAAATACTCTGATTGTTGTTTCTTGAAATTAAACCTTGTTAAGTACTTACTGTTATGGCACCCTCTCGTAAAGTCTCGAGTGATTCCTCAAGCTCCATCTGTTTTGAAGCCGTAGCAAATAACGCCTGCAAAATCCAAATAATGAAACAAGGGATAAATGCAAAAAAGTAGCAATGTACTTCCATTTCTTTCTATTACAACATTGTACTTTTAATTTTTTTTTTCTTATTAAGCCATTTTACTTTGAAAATTCTACCCTTTCTAGTATTGTATTGTATTTTTTTTCCTTATTAGCATATTATATTGTGAAAAATCTACCTCGCTATAGCAGTGAAAATTGTTTTGTATTTGGACGAAATTGCTTTAGTTAGGTATATTTTTCAACAATGGGATTAGAATGTTATTGTGTTGCTATTTTTTGCACTTAAACCGAGAGAATAAAAATCCATACTTTCTTTGTCTTTTGCAAGTCATACTCCATTGACCTTATACGATTCAAAGATTCAACAAGAATTTCGTCTTTCTCTTGAGGAATTTTGGAAGGTTTGCTAGAAAGCGCTAACACCAACTCTTCTAATTGTTTCAACTTCTCTTCAAATGGCTGCAAAAAGTCCTCCTTCCGAGGACTCAATTCATCCACATACCGGGGTTTATGTTTATCTTGCCAATTGAACCATTTTTTTATTATAAATCCCAACAAAAACTTCCCAAATTCAACAAGAAAAAATATACATCCTACTACTTTGTAAGCGAAATCAACCACATTTTTAATGCTTCTTCTTTGTATCAAATCATCTGCTTCAAAAAATGAAAACAAAAAACATCTTAAATATTTTTTGAATTTGTACATTATGATTGTTTGACAATACAATACAAACTAACAATCACTTACTTGAGGGAACAATGTCGATCTGAGTACTAGAAACTATCCGTTCAAATCTAGGGCTATTAGATACAAGATTATTTATATAGTCCTATAACAGAAGAAGAAAAAAAAACTAAATTAGCATGTTTAATGTTTCCATTGAGCATGTTATTTATTTACCTTATAAATTAACAAACACCTACCCTGTGGCTAAGAGACGTTGATCTATCGAATCCCGAATTAGATACTAAATCATCTGAAAATTTACTGCTTGGTGTCTGCATCAAATAAAATAATTATAAAAATGCGATAATCAAGAATAATCTACAAAATACAAGTCAAAACCCCACCTCTGAAACAATTGACTTGACCTCTAAGTCAACATCCTCATAATAGCTACAACTTCTCCTCAAATCTCCATTGTTGACCACCTGTGAAAAATCCAAGTCAACAAAATAAAAACACATTCACATAGAGATATATACATAAAAAAAAAAAAGAATGAACATACCTTCATGAGTTCTAAATCATGCCAAGGTCCTTTATCTGACCTAAGACATCCACCTTCATTTGGACATGAACATGTCCCACCAAGAAAATCGGGTAATTGACTACATAATGAAATAAATATGCAAGTTTTTTCTTTTAGTAAATTTAATGCGTTTAAAGCAAATAAAAAGTATACACGAACACACATACCTTGAGTCTATAACTTCCAACAACTTATTCTGATATTTATTACCAAGAACCTGTAAAAGATGTGAATGCCCTCATCCTCGTAATTGAAAACAGCTTTTACAAAGCAATGAAAATGAAGTAAAATGATTTGAAAAGATGGGTATGGTGAAGTATACGTTTATTTTTGCTGTTGTTCTTGGATCAAGAAACCCTTTTGCTGTATTCCATAGTAATTTAAATCCACTACCAGCATTTACTATGAACATCTGATGCAATGTCTGATTAGGGGAAAAAAAAGAATCAGTAAAAATAACAATAAATGTAGAATAAAATTTGGCATTTGGGTTTGCACCTCAGGATAGTTGTCACCATCTATTTTCTGCATACGCATGACCAAATCATTTGCAACTTTTCCAAAACTCATCCAGTTCTACATAAATCAAGAAACCCTCAGATTAATACAAGATTTATTGACTTTTCAAACCATCCTACTTGGTCTTTTTGTTGCAAACTGACCAAAAGTTCTATAAAATTGTAAAAAAAAATGCTAATAGTTTTCAGAAGAATAATGTTTTTTTTGTTATAAAATGAAGGGCTAAAATGCAAGAAACAGCAACATCAGGCTTCCATTTATTTGTTTATTATAGCATCCAACTTCCATTTCTTTCTATTACAACATTGTATTTTTCACCTTTTTCTTATTAATGCATTTTAGTTTAAAAACCTACCTAATTATAGCATGGTACTTTCAAAAAAAAACATTAGGGTATTGTACTCAGAAAAATCTACCCAATTATATATAGATAACATTGCTATAACTCAGTAGTTTTTTCATAGTATAATGCTATAATTAGAAGAAATGAAAGTGAATTGCTATTTAGCAAGAGAGAGAGAGAGAGAGAGTAAAGTAAAGCTAACCATGCCATGAACATCCAATATTGTGGTAAAAGAATCGATATGTCTTCTTGCTGAAATAGAACATGCTGGAAATTTTTCAGCAAAAGCTTTCTCAAAGCCTTGTACATGATACCTTAAAAACCTTTCCACTGTTGTCACACTCATAAGCTTACTCGGTTCCACTTTTCCAAGTCTTTCAATATAAACAGGCCTTCCCTCTTTATCCACACCATGATAACCATGAGGATAATACCCTTGAACCTCTTCATACTCTTCATAAATGAAATCCTTTCAAACATCATTGCATTATAATCATTGTCAAAACATTGTAAATTTGTAATTGCCTCTCTTTTTTTGTTCATTACTCAAGAAACAACTCATACTTGATAGTGATATGAACCATCAACACAGTGACAGTGATAGTGACAGTGACAGTGACTGATGTCAATAGGACAAAACTTGCAATTCTGTGTCCTACCCAAAAAGGTGGGACAAGGACTTGTTTTCGATTTCTTGTATATGCAAAAGACGTGAATGCCCTCCTCATCTATAGCTTGATAAAAACTTGTCAAGTCCCTTCCATGTAACAAATAAAGCCATAAAGTCCATGTTTAGGTATTGATATTTCTTAGGGAAATTTGAAGGACCCGTATTGATTTTGATTTGAAGTTGAAAAGTAATATCTTTGACCTTAAAGTCAAAGTAAGCTTGTTTTTGAAATGAGATATTTTGCAAAAGTAGTTGTAAAGATAATATGATATGATAGTTACAAGAAGTACCTGTGTGATGGAGTCTGCACCATATTCTTTTCGCCAGTTGAGCATATCTGCCCACATGTTGACTGCTTTATGAAGGTCAAACTTTCTTGCCTTCAAGAATCTGCAACCATATTTTAAAAAATCAGCATACAAGAAGGCATAATTAAGAAAAACCTTATAAAAGCTATAAGTTTTTTTAGTTTAGAGCAATTACTTCATATGTTCTAAAAAAGAGATATGATATCAATATATGACTTCAAAAGTCGATCATAATTTTTTTTGAAACTAAAATTTGATAAGGGAATATCTATCTTGGCAATAACATTTTTATGTGTTTTGATTAATCACCATATATCTTAAATAGGGTTCTCAAATTCTTCAAGTGAATTTGAAAAACTCTTATCATTATTGCTTGCAAATGGAAATATGATAATATGTTGACCTCAAAAGTCAAAGGGTGTCACAATAACAAATCAAAAGGATAACATTTGACTTTTAGGTCAAATTCAAATTATGTAACAGTATTGTAATGATTTTGGCAATAATAACTTTGTATTTTACTATTTATCATCTAGCTCAAAGTGGTTCTAAATTTGTTTTTCAAGTGATTATGAAGAATTGTCATCATTATTGGTTGCAAAAGGAAATATTTAGACCACAAAACTCCAATCACAAAATATGAAAAACAAATATTGGCTCATTAACTTTCTGACGTATTGAAGATATTTTCTTTTCAAACTAACTACCATTGTTGTGTAAAGACAAAAAGAAAAAAACAACATAGTTTTCAAGAACATGCAACTTTTGACAAGTTGGAAAATGTAACTGCAATGAGAATCTCATATTTGGCAATTTTTTGTCCAAAATAGATCTTTTTCAGAAAGTATAAGCATAACAAACTTTTGGAAGGCAAATAAAATAAAAGTGATTTTACAAAATCAGTTAAGTACTTATGTGCGGTTTCTTTTTGACCTAATAGGGAAAAACTGAATATGGTGCCCTATATATTAGTGTTTCTTTCTGACTTAATGCAGAAAGAACACGATGTAGAGGTTGTTTGTTTTTTTCCATTAAGTCCTTAATGATAAAGTGGTTGAAGGATAATGATGTATGTCTGGATAAAGTGTTGCATACATAAAGGTCTGTTTGTGCATACATAAGGCTTGTTTGTTTTCTAGACTTAATAAGCCATCTGAATGAGGCTAAATGACAATTTTACCCTTACATTAAAAAAAAAAAAATCAATTTCATAATATGTAACAAATTTAAGCATGAGAGGGGTTGGGAGGAAAAAGAATAAAAAAAGGTGGCGTCTTAATAGGCTAGTTTTCTTGCTCAATCCGTAGTCATTCTATGTAAAAAAGAAACAATCCTAATACCCTATAAAGAAACAGCCCCTTTATACAGAAAGGCGAAAGCTAGGAAAGAGGCTTTTATTTGTCATTTTAAAAAAAGCACTTATGAAAGAAATATCGATCAATCTACCTCAATAAAGTGTGGTAATCATCATGACAAAATGGAAGCAACTCTTTCTCAATCAAGACCTGCCGGAATGCATTAACGGCCTTCTCTTCCTCCTCATCTCGAACATCATCAATCGAAATGTGTGCAAATTGGCAATTAGAAACCCGTCGTTTTCTGAGGGAGTTTGACAACCTTGATGAAGCAACCAGAGCTTTTTTCTTCAAAGATCGAACCCTAATCCTTCTCTTCTCTTCCTCAAATTTCCCCAAATCATATCTTACTGCTTCAACATAATCAATTTAAAAATCGTTGTTCCTTTAGGTCAAAATTCAAATCAAATAACTTCAGATTCATCCAAAATTCAACAAAATCGACAACAGCTTACCTGGCATTGTAAATAAAGAATGAATAATTGAACTCTAGAAAAGCTCAGCATGAATCGCAAAATCCTTCTTAGTCAAGGATGAGATTGTAGTGAATTGAGATCTCCACTTAACAAACGAGTCAACAAATGAAAACGTCAAAACCTCGCACAATCACGCTATAGAAGATTCTGTCACTGGGGAGGACAGAAGTAGATCGAATCAGTCGAAGAACAAAAGGTAATAAAGAAACCAATAATCATACAATCAAAATAGGAAATTAGAATTGCATATGGAAACTATGACCGAATCCACATGCAACAATTAAAGAAGAATGAATGGTCTTTACGTCGGTATGATTAAACCCACAAAGCACACTGCTTTTAGCATTGTTTATATGATCACGATGAAAAAGAATGGGGTAGGCTTAGTTGGGTCTTCACAATTAGTTAAAGGGATTGCTTAGTGATTACAACACTCTTGCTGTAAAGAAATTGCTTTTGTATGAACGGTTAACTTTTTTAAAAATCTTCCCGGCCGAAAAAAGATTCGTGGAACATACATTTTCTTTTCTTTTCTTTTCTTTCCCACAAAAAGTTTGATAATCCTTTTACGTTTATAACATAACAAACGAGTTTTATGAGCATCGCATGCTATTGCATTCTTTAAAAATAGCCATGGGAATAAAATATTCCATTTTCTCTCTCTAGTTTTACTAACACCATCTTTTATGTGTACTAATTATATGATTTGGCAATTGATATTTTTTTATTTAATACTTATTTTTTTCTTCTACTTTTGCATCCTAATTTTGTAAATATTTGATTTGATCTTTTTAAATTTTATTATTGAAAAAATCTAGTGTCAATTCAACATAATCTTAATAAATCTTAAGCCAAATCTAACACTTATTTGAAAATGATAACATTAATATCTTTCTAGTTGATAAAGATAGATAGTGATTTTATGATTCTTAATAAATCTTAAACCAAATTTAATATTGATAACTTTTTAGTTTTATTATTTTCATTGACGGTAGCTATGTAGCAAGGCGACTCAACCGGTTTAGGATTCTAAACGACCTAAAATATGGGGCGTTTTGACCGACAATAATAAGCTAAAAAGTTTATAAATGGGAGTTAATTTTTTTATTATGTATATGTTTTTTGTGAATCATAGAGACAGTTTTATTAATATTGGGTTAAATTTGGAGAATATAGGAACCTTTATAGTTGGGGGCCCTAACCCCAGCTTAAAAAAAATATAAAGTTGAGCGGTCACTGATATATAGATACATAGTAGTTATGTAGATACATATACATATTAATTTGGTCATGTTAAATTGATATTGTCTTATATTAATACCAAAAGCATAAAAGTATAACATCACATGTCATTTCATACCAAATTTACAATATATTATAAGTGATAGTTCAATAACCTTTGTCTATATAAAAAATAAATTTGTATAATTTATTAATATTGCAAGTTGTATAATGGGGAATAATGATCAAGTACTTTAATAATTAAAATCAATGGTTTCAATAATATATTATTCTAGATTACATTATACTAGGTCTAATCTTAAACCTGTATCGAACATGTTCTATAAATACATTCGGTAGTAGGCCTTTCGTAATAGGATCCATTAGCATATTGTTAGAATCAAGATGCTCGATACAAATATTATTCTCATATTCATTCTCTTACGAACATGTATTTGGTTTATCCTTCGGCGGCATCTCCGTTTTTTTGCATCTGAAGAACGAGAATGGTGTGTAGTGCAAACAGACAACAAAGATGCCTTTTCATTGATGGCATGCGATGAAAACAGTATCGGGGTGGCAGGGAAGATATGAACGAGAGAGAGGAAAATTGCATAAAAAAGGACAACATGGATAGTATTCGGCGGAGTAAATTTATGCGCTTTTGTTTTCTGTGCATTTTTCAGGACACGATCGTAGCGTTTCTCGATCTCCCATAACATGTATGTTTTTCTAGCCACGATGTGGGTTGAACATATATTTGCATCTTCTATATTATTTGGTTTTTGTATCTTGTTTGGATATATGGTTTTGTTTAGTAATTTGGCAATAAGTGTTACGTAATCCAAAAATAGGGTGTCCAACTATTACAGGTTAGGGACACAAGTATTTTTGTTTCAAAAAAGTAGGAGGTATGGTTGCATGTATTAGAGTTTTGTTTATAGGGTCTTATTGTAGCGGTGTGGTCGCCAAAAGTGAGTAGTGGTGGTGGTCGGAGGTGAAGAGAGTGGAGAGTCATGAACTTTCAACGGAAGATGAATGGCTAACGGGTAATGGTGAGGGTGGGTGAAGAAAGGTTTGTGGGTCCCAATATTATTTTAATAAAAATGATCAAATAATAGATAAATAATAACAAAATAAAAAGATATTTAATAAGGGCAAAATAGTCATTTTATGTATGTGATGGATGAAAACCCTTAACAAAAAATAATGTAGGGGTTGTCTGAGTGAAAAAAAAAGAGATTTAAGGACTAAGTACACATATTTTCCCAAACCAAAAGGACCATTCATGTAATGTACTTGAAATGTTATTAATACTAGAACGTAGGAGTCCATCGGGATAGTGGCGTGAATGTGGGATAAAGATCGGGATGGCCGAGGCTGCAAAGCAGTACCGTCATGTTCACTGCCCTCTAGGTACTGCAAAAAATCACGTCGCATCAGTACCCTCATACTAATTGTGATAAAGACAAAGAAGAAAAAAAACGGGGTAGCAAAGAAGTTATGTGGCATGCAGTATACTCGGGAACACCACCCTGCCCACGTAAGGATGGTCGGTACTGAAGAGATGCTTGGGATGACACCATGCATTGTCAATAGCCAATTTCGCGTAGATGTTCCTTTGTGACCCAATTTAGGATTTAAGTAATGTGTGTGAGCTACAATATTTCATGATGTGTTAAGATACAGTAAGTTTTATGGTAGAATTAGAGTAATTTTGGATAATATTCAAAGACCCAAAGTACAACAAAAGACAATGTATCGTTATAGTTTTATGGTAGAATTAGAGTAAGTTTGGATAACATTCAAAATTGATTTGTGCTTTGAATTCCCCTCCTTATCTTATGCTTATAATATATTCAAGAGAAATTTGCGAAAATAGCCAAAAATATTTTTACTTTGTAAAAAATAGTCAAAAATTAGAAAATTACACAAATAACCATCAAAATAGCAGGTGATTAGCCTTGTCTGCTATTTCCTCATCTCATTTGCAAATGTACAACCCATCAATGCACTTCTTCTGCATCATCAACTTGTACATTCCTAGCTGATAGCTCTAACAACACCAAAAATCACAATAATTTTAAACCTTTCAAAACAACCCAAAATCATAAATGTTTACAAAATCGTTGTTTCCAAATTGTTTATCAATATTCGAGTATCCCAAAATCATAAGTCCATGAAGCAATAGGATGTATACGGTCACACCTTTGCCTTCCCGCGATCAGCAGAAGTACTTGAAACAGTAAACTAAAACCATAAGCCAAAGCTTAGTGAGTTCCTTCAAAGTACCACCACATAAAACATATCAAACAAGCAGGTAACGAGTCACACCCTTCCTAGTTGGATCGCCCCTGACCCACAACCTTACGATTGGAATGCCCTGGCTGACAACCTTCCAGTTGGAATGCCCAACACATAACGGGTCCACAACCTTCCTGGTTGGATTACCCCCGGCCCACAACCTTCCGGTTGGAATGCCCCGGACCACAATCTTACGGTTGGAATGCCTTGGTTTGTTGACTTACAACACAAAACAGTACAGTCTCAACCCCACCATACTTGTAACGTCCCGAAAATCCTAGGTAATTTTTTCATTTTTAAAACAATAAATCATACAAACAAGTTGTTCCAAAACCAATCAAAGTGAATATATCATTTAAACATCAGAGTAATATCATTAATTGCCAATGCGGGAAACTCTAAGGGGATGTTGTGTAGTCACGTTGTGCCCTTCCATTTCGAACCGAAAGTACATGAAACCATAAATATGAAACTGTAAGCACAAAGCTTAGTGAGTTCCCCAAAATACCACATACCATACATACATTTGCCATGAGCTACCCCCGTGGTCTTATTCTTGAAATGTTATGGGCTACTCCCATGGTCTAACATCCAAGTGCCATGGTGTAACGCCCGTGTTTCTAGGCTAAGCATTAGTATGATGATGTAATAGTTAGGGTCAACAATTGTAACCTAATTTAAAATAATAAAGAGGAATTATTTGAATATTATGTGAATTATGTGATTTTATGTGCATTATACTCATTTATAAGGTATAATAAATTAAGAATGAAAATAAGCACAAAAAATATAAATAATAGATAAACCCAATATCTATGAAGAAAGTTGTAGTGGTCGTGACAAGGATTCCGAAGATATAAAGAACATTGAAATCCGAGTTATAACGAAGAAGTTATGACCTGTCAAAGTTTTACGGCTAAACCGGCACGGCACTGCGTAACGTAAAAAGTGAATTTTTTATAAATTACCTTTTAGCCTTACGATCTAAATGAAAGTCGTAATATACGTTAAATCAAGAACATACATAAAAAGAATGTCCAAATCTGACTTCGTATGAGGAAGTTATGATTTTTCTAAGATTTAACATAGCAATGCACAACCCGGAATTCGAATTTTAGATCGATCTATTTTAGCCGACACAACCTAAATGAGAATTGAAGATCTCATTAATAGGATCTTGACGATAAAAAGACAGTCGAAAACGGAGTCCGTATGTAGAAGTTATGAATTTTACACGGTTGTTAAACATTGTAATCTTCTCATGCTGTTAAATTTAAAATTGATCGAGAATTATCCGGTGAAGTCAAAAGGAGAGTTGTAGATCTTGTCAATACCTACACGTGGATATAAAGAACATCAAAAACGGAGCACGTATGAGAAAGTTATGGAATTTAAAAGTCGGGATGAGCTGATACGAAATGGGTGACGTGGCGCGATCTGAGCCATTGCTTCCTCCCCACGCCTTGCCACCAGATGGTGACACCTGGAACCCAAATCGACGAGTTGGAGGCTCAGAACTCGCTGAGTTGAGCCATTTTTTAGCCTATAAATACCATGCGAGGCTCACTCATTTTCCTCGCACCTTAACCCTTTTTTCTCTCTCTCTAACTTCTCTCTAAACCTCCCCCAACCTCTAGTACTTCCCAAGTGCTAAGAGGCGAGTCCCGGAGCGCCACAAGGCTTCGAGAAGAAAAGATTTCAGCTCGGAAGTTCTGCCCCCGCAGAGCCCGGTTCTTAGCCAATCCTCCCGGTAAGTGAGTTATGCTTACTCTACTTTAAGTATAGCTTAGGTTTAAATTTATTATCGTTATTATGAACTTATAAACAATATATATATTATAAAATATAATATATAAAGTGTTATTATAATATCTTTTAACTACTCGTGGTACGGGGAATCTGGTTTGAAGGGCCACATAGGGTTGTTGGATTTCAGAAGTGCTATAATGCCAAAATGGTCCTGCCCTCCAGTGTTTCATGTCTGGCCCCCTGTCTGTACATAGTTGTTGAAAAGTATTGTTTAACACTTATA